GGATAGGCAATTTACTTTCCTCTGGTACAGGATGCTACCTTTAGATGCTTCAGGCTGAAAGAAGCACTCTGAAATACCACTGTGGGCAAAGCACCCCCAAGGCTTGCAGGGTTTGTGTACCCCGGCCTACACAGAGCCCTAACAGAGACCAGTGCCCGAGTGGTGGCAACTTTACCCCAGGCTTGTGGGCATTTTCCAAGAAGGGGGATCACCAGATGTAGGCTCCCCAGGGGATATTCCCAAAGCGTAGTTTTGGGCCTGGCATTGTGAGGTTAGGGGCTCTGCATAGTAGCACCCCCTACAGTGCTGCCACAGGGAGCAATGGAAGGGACCTGTGTGAACATCCCCTCTAGCCATGGCTCCTATATTTTCCTTTGACTTCCTCTTGAAGCCATTCCTATTCTTAGAAAACCCAGAGGTTCCTGGCTGGAAGCCCTGGTCCTCAGCCCAAAGTGATACCAAATGCCAGATTGGGGTCAGGAAGGAATTTTTCCCCTGGGTCAGGATGACATAGACTATGGGAGGTTTCCCTTTCCCCTGTAGCCTAGGGAAGGGATGTCCAACTTCTGAGCAGCCAGAGACCATATGCCACACCAGCTGCAAGCCCCTGGCTGCATGCCATACAGGCTGCATGTCATAGGGGCCACAAGCTATGCAGGTTCCATAAGCAGTGCAAGCCCCCCACTTCTCCCCCCACCCTTGCCATATAGGCAGCATAAGTCCCTTCCACCTTCTGCTGCCAGCACTTGCTTGGGCCTTTTACCATGTTGCATGAACGCCACAAGGCCCCCTTCTCCCACTGTGCTGCTGCATGGAAAGCAGGCTCATTGGGGCCCCTTCTACTGTGCGGTCCTGCCTCACAGACCCCAGCCACTACAGTAGCAGGAGCAATGTGGGGTGTGATTGCCTGGTGGGAACCCAGAGTTGTGGGGAGGGGGAGGTCACATGTTAACTAATCCCTTGCAGGTCTCATGCAGCTCACAGGCTACTAGGTAGAGAGCCCTGGTCCAGCCCAATGTTCCTGTATCCCTATGTGATCTGCTCTCATTTTTCTATTCCGTTAGTGTGTCAATACTACTGCTCACACATCTTTAACTAAATAGCTGGTTGTAATGCCAGTCCTTCCTTTCCCATCACACCTCACTTGTTATGTTGCCATTTCTTGTTTCTCCTTGCTCTTTATAAGCCTGCAGTCCATTGTCAGTCCCTATCATCTTATTTTTACCAAGTATTTGTCTTTGTATTTATTAAAACACAGTAACTCTGTCCTTCCAAAATCTGACTGGCTCTTTCTTGGTATATAGAGCGTTACAAAATACTTGGCCTTGGTTAGTACTGGAGATTTTCCCAGTGTTCACTGTGGGGAAAAGCAGCATGTTTTAAAAGAGTAGAAACATGATTTTGAGGTGTTTCCTGTTTTGTGGTGTCCCATCTTCATGAGTTCTGCATTAAATGCATGTTTGGGCAGAGTGGTGCACAAGTAATGGTCCCCAGAAACCAAACTGCAGCTGTAGTGGCCAGTGTTTAGAGAGTGGAGAGGAGAAAATGCTTTACAGACACAGGAATGGAGAGATATTCTCTCCTTTCAGGGAGGAGGAGGAGAGAGCAGGCTTCCGTGGCTTGGAAACAGCAAGTGATTGGAATGTTGTATCACATGGACTGAAATTGGCAGAAGGACAATAAACAAAACCTGCCTGGCCTGGCATACCAGGAGAGAAATTGTTGCTATCGCTATGTACCTAGAAGGCAAGAGCACTTAAATAGGGGAATTACTGTTTATGATGATACAACCAGCCAAATGAAATGGGGAAGAAAAGGGGAAGTGTTTTGATGTTAGAATCCAGACTGCACAAATATTGGCCAGGAAAATGGGTTGGAGTCTCATTAAATGGCTCTTTTAAAGCTAAACTGGAGGCAATGCTAACTCACTGCAAGCTGGGCCAGATCAGGGGTGGATACAGGAGGGGGTTGCCATATAAGTGATCCTGGAGTTTGTGTTGGTGAAATCCAGAACATTCCAGGGATAGGGAGTGAATGTCCCTTGCCCCTATCACCCCCCACCCCCTTTTCCTCTGCCATTGAATTCGACAGCAGGTAAGAGGACGACTCCTTCATCTTCTCATCTGTAACAACTGCATGGAATCCAGAGGGAGGATCACAGCCTGCTGATGCACCAAAAGGTTGACCTGTGTGTACATATAAAGCAATGTAAAGCTCCATCTGTGGTTGCTGTGATTTATCCAGAAGCCAACTGAGTTCTAAAAGTGAATTTATCTAAAGTTACTCACCAGCATTGGTGGCATGAAACCTCACCTATGGCCCATGTTTTCTCTTCAGTAATTTGTGTGTATCTGTTGGCTGCCGTTTCATATAATTCAAAGACTTGGCATTGTAAAAAAATGGTAGGGAAGAAATACCTAGAATGGACAGAGCAGAAATGTTTTGAGATGTTTCCCAAATCTTCCACAAGAATCAGTAGGTTTCTAACACTTTGTGACATTTTTGTGGGTCTGGTTCCCATGTCACGTGGCTTCATTTGGCTTTGATGCTCTGGAAATTATTAATTTGTCATTTTGTTTTAGAATGGTATGAGGAGGCTTCCTGACCTTGGTACCCACTATATTTAAAAAGCAAAATGCTTTTAAGTATGTGTTATTGCTTCTCACTAAACACCATTACTACCTGTTGTAATAATTTATCGTTAGACATATGACATACATTCTTACGGTCCTATAACACATGTCCAGCCAGCCCCGTGTATGAGTGCAAGAATATTCAGTATGTCCTTAGATTACTAGTTGATTTTACCACCTCAAGGTTATTGGTCCAATAAAAAGATATCACCCCCCCACCCCCATATCCTTGCCTCTTGCATATTTCTCCATCTGGCAGAGTTCATGATGTGTATGCTATAGGTCTTATCCTGCCATCATACAGAAGACCACTCCCAGCTCATAGGAGGATGTGTCAGCCACAATGATAGTTGGTTTGGTTGGGCTGAAAACCAAGAGAGGTGCAAAGGGTATTTTTGATCTCCCCATAAGCCTTCTTCTGTGCAAGTCCCTATGTTCACTCTGTATTAGAGTTGCAGGGAGCACAAGGAGCAATGGTCTCAAATTGCAGCAGGGGAATCTTAGGTAGGGTAGTAGGAGGAACATTGTATGTGAGTGGTTAAACCCTGGAACAGACTACTAAGAGAGTCTATGGACTATCCATCCTTGGAAATTTTTAAGGGTAGGTTAGACAAACACTCGTCTGGGATGGTTTAGTCAAGCATGATTCTGCCTTGAGCAGGAAGCTGGCTAGATGATCTCCTGAAGTCCCTTCCTGCCCATTTTTTCTATGATTATATCTGCCAAGACCCTGCGTTGGCTTCAGGTTTGCTGAAAATTTTAGTGTTTTGCAGCTGGTCAAATGTGTGCTCAACTGCTGACATGAGGTGATACCCACATTCCACATTCTTGGTGACCCCAAGATGTCAGTGCAGATAAGCACACCTCCAGAAGTCTTGGCCACAATAACCATGGGTGCACACTAGTTGAAAGGGGCACCACCTGACTTAATCATTCCCTTGTGGGCCATGTCTTGGAGCTGCTTCTAGACAGTCCTCATCAACAGTAGTGGAAATTGATGAGGCACTGTGGGTGCAAAAGGCTAAGCATTGTTTCTTGAGATTGATCATGTTTCACTTTCTCCAGTCTCTTGAATGGCTTTAGGAATTTTTGGACTAGTTTTATCTTTGCAGTTTGAGTCTTGAGCTTATTTAGCTTCTGTATGAGATATGTTTCTTCACTCATCTTACAACCTAGCAATGCTCATTCAAGGTCTTTGGTTATATAAATGTTTTCCCATGTAAATGCTATCTTGCACTGGAGCTGCTCATTCTTCAACCTAGTGGTCTGCAGGGATCTCTTCTCAGGTACACATAGGTTCTTGTCAGAAGGATGAAGTTTGACACATGCCAGAGCAGACCTATACAACTCAGAAATTACTGTGACATCAGCTCCTGCTTTGATTTTGAAGCAGATGGTAATGTCTCAGAGTATAATGTCTACAGTCTAGGAACTTAACTCATATACAAGAATTAGAATGTATCCCTAAAAAGCAGTCTCATTCTAGTAGCTAGCTCAGAAACATGAGAGTTGCCCCCTGAGCATTGTATATGTCCTTAGTGTGCCTTATTGGCATCTGCCACATGTCATTCTGACTTGGGTATTCATTATGTGGATGCTTAGAGGTAAGTGTGTACCAAACACATTCAGTGGTTTTGGTTGTTTTATGCTCACCCTTAGTGATGTGGTCACTGTCAGACTGTTCTAGAAATCTGTTGCAGGCTTCGGTTGACAATTGCTGCTTGACAGCTGTTATTGGACAATGACACATCAGTGTTGCATACAATGGGGAAGTAATCGTTCCTTCCACCTTTTGTCTGCTTTAACTATCAACCCTTTGGGGTGGGAGCTGTCTCTTGTTGAGTGTGTCTGTTCTGGGCTGGACACAAGATGGCTTAATCCCATTTGAGGTTTCTGTGCACAACTATAGTACAAGCCAGTGACACTAACAACATGTGAGGGCTGGTAAAGAATTCCGATGTTCTGTGTCACAGTGACTGAGTATTGAGAATGTGGGAATACCTATATGAGCTGTCTCTCTTCTCCAAGGGGAGAGGCAGCTATCAGGAATTTTTCCATATATCTGTTGCAGTCTGATTTATTGGCTGAATTTTTATTTTATTTTCAGTGATGCCACATTCTCTGCCTGGCACTGGAATCACAAATCATTTGATAGCAGAGCATACAGTGAGTCTGAAAAGAAACTCCCAAAGAACTCTGAAGTCACCAACTGTAACCAATAAACAGGGTTCTGCTCTGGGTCTTCCAGTCCCTCTTTGGGCCTGTATGAAAAAAGCTACTAGAGCAGAAAGGTATGTCACACTACTGAAAAGCACTTTCTCTTTGATAGGGTTAATCAGAAATGTTTCTGTTTTTTGTTTCTTTCAGTTCCAATTTCAAAGCCTCAAGCTGTCGTTCCATCATCTACTGTGCTAGAGCTCAGTGAATATTTCACCATGAACTGCTCCCATGAGAATGGTACAAAGCCCACATACACCTGGCTGAAAGATGGCAGGCCTCTCAGCAATGACTCACGGCTGCTGCTCTCTCATGATCAGAAGGTGCTCACCATCACCAGAGTCCTAATGTCTGACGATGACATTTACAGCTGTGTAGTTGAAAACCCAATTAGTAGTGGGCGCAGTGCCCCAGTAAAGCTAACAGTATATAGTAAGTATTCCTAAAGCATGGACACTTTGGGGAAGGTATAAAACTTGTGAAGAGTTATGTTTGTTCCACAGGCTTCAGAAACTCTCCAGAGCTGGGTAACAAGGGAATACAATCTGATGGTTTTAAACAACACATTTAAGGGAGGTGGCTTTGCTGTCCCCATGTAAATCTGCTTGGATTGGCACCCAACAATCTTTATTTCCTCATGCTCACTAGACATTTGTTAAACTGGCAGCTAATATCTTAGACCAAGTGTTCCCAAAGTTTGGCCTCTGGACTAAATCCAGACTGTGAGCCCCTTTGATGTGGCCCACCATCCAGCACTGTCCCTTTGAAATGACCCTCCTGGGGCAAAACTGTTCAGTCACATTGAACAGTGTCCAGGGCTGGAGCATAGGGAACAGTAAAACTATTCTTGCAATTGCTTCTCCAGATCCTTGGGAATCACTGTGGCACTGGGCATCAGAACTTACAGGGACTAAGAGGCACAGAGAAAAGAAGCTGCCTGGCCACAGTGCAGAGGCATCATAAGGGAGGGAGCTAGAACAGAGCATCTGGGTCTGTATGGACTGAGAAGGCCAGGCTTGGAGGGATGGGAACATCCTGTGAGGCAGGGGAATTAGGTTGGTTGGGGGACTAATGAGAAGGGAAAATAAAATTTTCCCCTTATTAAGGAATCAGGAGTGAACCTCTGGCATGTGTCCTGCCTTCACTAGGAGTAATTCCCTTCTGGACTTTTTGTTGGTGCCCATTCCTGCAGTGTTTGACTGCCTATACATATGCTTAGAGGTGGGGGGAGTGGGGTGCCATTGCATTTTAATTAAAGCTGTTTCCAGGCAGCCGTTCTAATTAAAATGCCACAGCATCTTGTGTATTAAGCCCCCGTGCATTTAAACATGACCATGGGATACTTTATGTAAACCTCATTCTCTAATTAGAATGCGTCAGCTTAGAATCAAAGGATCATAGAAAATTAGGGTTGGAAGGGACCTCAAGAGGTCATCTAGTCCAACTCCCTGCTCAAAGCAGGATCATCTCCAACTCAACCATCCCAACCAAGGCAGCCTTTGAGCCTTGCAAGCTGTAATGCTGTAGTTTTCACAATGTGTACAAACCCCGAGTGTTCCATACTTTTGCAAAACAGAACCCAAGTCTCTCACTTGACATCCAAAAAATGGGGAATCCATGGGGAATCCACCAGGCCAGCTATGATGAGTTTGGTGCAGCATCAGACAGATGGTCTCTGGTCAAGGCAGGGAGAGAATTCAGTTGTTCATGGCAACCTTCAGCTGAATTAGCTGAGATGCAACACACACATGCTCATGCATATATACTCACACAGGAACAGTGATAATAGCCCAGTAGTGCTTCATCCCAGTGCACATGTGTATGTGCACACTTACATGTACATGGATTCACACACACATGCGTGCAGGCACTAACAATGCCGAATGGCATATGCTATGCAACCTCCTTTGTGAGCACAGAGATAACAGCATAATGGTGCTGTACCTAAGTTTTTTTCCATCGTAAGCTTTCTTTAAATAGCATAACAACTTCTGTGCTATGAGTGATCCTAGTGCAATTAAACTGATAAAACAATCCATTCCTGGCACAAAGTTCCAGTGGTACAATTCTGGTAGGCAGGTCATACCTTTACACCTATCTTGGAGAGACAGACTTGCCTTAAACTTTGTGCATAGCCCACCCACAAATATAGTAATAGCAAATCTCCATTGCCTCTCCTGGCTAGTGTGGTGGCTGGTGCCAGGGCTGTCCACACCCAGGACTGTGGAAAGCTGCATGTTCCCACCACATGCTCTCTGAAGTGGGAAATACAATAGATGTGTTTACCTCCACATAACTAGATTCAGATTGAGTGCCATGCACATAGTACTGTATTTACTTGAATATAAGAAGATTTTTCCCCCAATCAGCATGTGGAAAAAAACCTCTCATCCTAAATTCACATACAAGAAAACCACATTAAATATTTTACCAATTGTTGAACTGCTGCTAAAAGCAGCATGTACTCAGTAATGAAAAACAACTAAGAAGTTGATTAAATGTAGCCAACGCTGAGCATGATTATAAAATACATGGCTCGTATAGGGCAAATATGCTGATGGGAACTTTTTTTGTGTGTGGCCCTTAAAAAAAAAGGAGGCAGTTATTCCCCCAGGAGGGGAAAAAGCAGAGGACCTAGAGGGGACACCCTCCCCTGGTACCAAAAACACTAATTGGAGCCTCTTCCAGGCTGGCACCAGGAGAGCCAGAGGCAGCCATGACACCCTCCCCTTGGTATAAAAAAACTATGATCTTAGTCAAAAGACCAAGATGCTGATGGGAACCTTTTTTTAAAAAAACATTTTTTAAATTCCACTTATCACCCTACACTTACAAAGCTTCACATATTGAGCACCCTTGTTTTACCCAGATTTCATGTTGCAAAAACAACATATCCAAAAACATACAACTATATATATTAAACCGTTAAACAACATACATCAACTTCCCACAAAAGAACCCCTTACAGCAGCATTTTTCAACCCATGGGGTCACAAGAATAAAGGTCACAAGAATATTTCAAAGGGTCGCGAGCTGCAGCAGGGCAGAGGGATGGTGGGAAGGCACCTGCCCCTTCTATAGGGGAAGCGGGGCGGGGGATTGTTGCATGGCCGGGCTGGTGGCACCAGGGCCAGTGCCTCTGCTCATGGGGGTGGGGCAGCTGGGAGATGCTGCTCAGGGGATGGGAGGGGCCATGACCAGGCTGCCTGGCGTGGTGCCCTCCATCCCATGCCAGGGGCCAGACTTGCTCCACTACTGCCTGCATGAGCCAGAGGCAGTGCATCCACCACATTCCAGCCCAAGCAGGGTAGGGGCAGCTGGGGGCCCTGTGGCAAAGCTCAGGGGAGTTGGGGGAAGACAGGGGGCTGCAGGTTGGGAGTGAGGAACACCAGCGTGGCCCAGGGGACTGGGGGTCGGGCATCAGCAGGGCCAGGGGGGTGTGGGTCGAGTCAGGACAGGCTGTAGATCTTTGCAAGTGGGTCCTGGTAGAAAAAAGGTTGAGAACCACAGCCTTACAGAATTCTTTTTCTTCATACAGAAAACCATGAAAAACTATTTCCTCAGCAACCACCTGAAACTCTCTGCCCCTCCCATCAGTCCTATCTGTTGGCTTAGTAAAACAAGTGTGTCCAGTCTTTTTTACTTCACTTCTTCTCCACCTCTTTCTCTCCAATCTCTGCCTTGTCCCAGTCAATGTAGTATTTCAATTCATGCAGCCCAAGCTTCAGGCACTCTCTTTCAGTGAAAGCCAGCTGCTTAAAAAAAATGGAGGTTTCTTACTTTCTATAAACTAGTTTTAAAACATGCTAATAAAGTCCTTAATAACATTTCCTCTGGTCCCTTTGGTATGAGTCCATATAGGACTATCTCCTGCACTAACAAATTTATTTTGGTGATGCTCAGAAAGTGGCAGACACTTGCCCACACTCCCTTGACATAGGTATACTCCCAAAATACATCCCCACCATTTCTTTGTCCCTGACCCTCTTTCTTGGACACCTAACCTGAGCTTGTCAAGCCCCATCTGTGTTGCACTTCTCTCACCAGTAAGATATTTATTACAATCATCCATGCTAAGACAACATGTTCTCCTTTTAGTTGTTTACCCGCCACAGTTCCCCACACCTTCTTCATTTGTCCTTCAGGGAAGTTTCTCACCGGTGCTATCATGTCTCTCTCCCTTACCACTTCCATCAATTTGTTATGATCCTTCAAGACCTCCAGCCCTACCTTCCCTACTGCATGAAACCTTCCATCCTGATGTAATGAATCTGTGGTTGCCATGCCCATGGACTCTTCAAAGAGGTCTGATATACTCCCCATTTCCTCAAAATTGCAGGTGTATGAAATTTGGTGATATGCGCTGCTTTCCCCTCTCCTTCCACTGTTGGCTTGTATATCATGTAGGGCTGTGCAAAACTTTGGGTGCTAATTCAATTCGGAGAAGATTTGGCGGCTGAATCTCCAAATCCAAATCGAATCAGGAGACCAATTAAAAGGTCTGAATCGATTCGAACTCTCTAAATCAATTCAGAAAAGATTCGGAGAGCTTCAGAGATTTGGGCAGTCCCCGCTCGCTGCTGCAGGGAACCGGACACAGACTCCATGCTGGTAAGTAGGAGGCAGGAGCGGTGGGGCTGGAGGAGGGGTAGGGGACCATGGGGGACCCCTGCCAGGCCCCATCCCCTGCCTGGTCCCCCAACCCCCCTGAGTGCCCACCACCCCTGC